GAAATCATACAGAACATATGCTTTTGTGTTTGGCTTTTCCACACATAGTTAGGTGTGCATCAGCTAGATTTTGTTACTTATACAGCTGAAGAACCACAGTTAGTCTAACATTACACACAGCTCATTATATGAATATACCAAAACTTACTTATCCATTCTGGTATGTATGTGCATCCAAGTACACTGTAGCCACAGTGGGCTGTTAAAAACAATGATTTTCATGGCTTACTTTATGGGCACTGTCTCTTCCTTTGGGGGGGGGTGGGGGTGTCTATACCAGTGGTTCTCAATCTGTGGGTTGTGACCCCCTCGAGGGGTCACATGGCAGATACTTACATTTTGATTCATAAAGGTAGCAAAATAACACTTATAAAGTAGCAATGAAAATAATCTTATGGTTGGGGGTCACAACAGCATGAGGGACTATATTCAAGGGCTGCAGCATTAGGAAGGTTGAGAACCGCTGCCGCTGCTCTAGACTAAGACACGAAAGCACGAGATTATAGCAGTACCCCTGTGTTCAACTTTTGTGGAACCACCGTCAGTTCTTTAGTTTTCCTATCTTTCTTGTTTCCTTCATTTGGACTTTTTGTTGTCTTCTCTCCCAGATTGCTGAAGTAGGATCTCAGGTCACTGGTTTTACTGTTCCCCCGCTCCGCCAACACTATATTTCAACATTATACTATTATCCCTCTCCGCACAATATTCACTGTATTTCTCAAAGTCTGATGCTCTTTGGAATTTTCCTTTGATTTGTGTGTTACTCGTGTATTCCTTCCTCCTTGGGGGGGAATTTCCTAGCTATATAACATAGCTAAGAACACATTCACTGTAATTTTAATTTCTGAAAATTAACTGAAATGTATGATGACCTACTATATGTTGACTGTGTCCCCTGTGTTAGAAAATGTTCATTTTACTGTTGCTAGACATAGTTCTATAAATGTCAGGCAGTGTAGTGTACAATGACTGACAGTGTTGATCAGATTTTTCAGTAGCCTTACTGGCAAACACAATCCTATCAATCACTAGAAGAAGGGTCAACATTTCCAATTAGGTAGTCATCTTCCCTCTAATGACAATTACAGCTGGGGGAAAAAAAAAGAGTTCTTTTGGCTCATGTTTCTAATTCTTCATAACTTGTCCCTATAACTTGGGGTTCAAGGTGAGGCTGAACATCATGGTGAGGAGCATGTGCTGGGACAGGGCTATTTGCTTCCTGGAAGCCAGGGACCGGAGAGGAAGTATGAGAGAAGGGGTCCTCAGGACATACTCCCTTCAGTAATGCTCCCATCTACTAAGTGTCTATCACCTACTTAACAGTTCATCAAATTATGAACCTATTCATAGATTAGTTCACTGATGAAGTCAAAGACTCCAGGATCCTTTCACTTCCCAGAGCATTACCTGCTGCACTGGGGATCATGCTTCCAATATAAAGACTTCAAAAGAGAACACTGATTATGATTGTAGGTTTGTCTAGTTCTCCACTTAATTTTATCTTCCTGCAATTTCAGGCTTGCTAACAGGCACTTACAAATGTGTCTTTCTGGGCAACTGCCCCCCCCCCCCCTTTTCCCCTTATAAAATTTTTTTTTTAACTCCCCCTTTTTCTTTCTTGCCTGCTTTATCTAATATTACTGTAGCTGTTATTAGGGTACATAGCTTTAGATTCTTTTCACTTTGATAACCTCTATTTTTTTTTTATATTTTAAAATACACAATTTCCTATTAATCGTAGGCAGTTGTGCAAAGACCATCAATCCTTGATTTCTTATTTGAAGGTCTGTTCTATTTACTTCAAGGTGTTCTGGATTTGGCCATTCCAATAGATGAGCATCTCATTGTTTTAATTTACATTATCCCAACAACATGATGTGGAGCATCTGCAAATCGTATTTAGTGAACTGTTTAAGTTTTTTTTGGTCTATTTTTTTTTTCATCTGGCCATTCATTTTCTTAGTATCGAATCTTAAATGAATATTTTGGATAATAGTCCCTTCTCCGATATATCTTTTGAAATATTTTGTATCAATCTATGGTTTATCTTATATCTGTGTGTGTGTGTGTGTGTGTGTGTGTGTGTGTGTGTGTGTGTGTGTGTGTATGAAGGTTTCTTTCTCTCTCTGGTTCAGTCTGCTGGTCATACTCAGTCTACTACTTTCTCTCCCTATTCTGGACTCTTCTGATGCCTCTGGGTATACTCTCCCTCATATCTACAATAAATTTTTTTTTTCAACCATACTTCCGAGTGGTCATGTCCTCATTTCATTTAATAGGGTGACAATTTCCTGCCTTAACATACTTAGCTCTCTCTGGCCTCTGTTTCCAATGGGAAGTCTACAATACTTCGTGACGTTGCTCTCTGTATACTTCATTTGTGTATGCTTTTAGATTTCCTGGGTGGGGATTATGCGCGTCTATGTGCAGAGAGCAGAGGTTAACACTGAGTATCTTCCTGAATTGTTCTCTACCTTATAGTTTTCAAACAGAGTCTTTCAATGAACCTGGAGTTTGCCAATTAGGCTAGAGTGGCTCAGCAGTGAGCTTTGGGGATCTTTCTGTCTTCCAAGCACTGTAATTACAGGGTAATTCCCACTACACCCGGCTTTTTAAAAAAAAAGAGTTCTGGAGATTGAACTCAGGTCCTCATGCTTGCATGGAAAGCACACATCCCCACATAGACACATGTAATCAAAAAAATGTTGAAAAATGATTTTTACAATTAATTAAATTAATTAATTGTAGGCAGTTGTGCGAAGACCATCAATCCTTGATTTCTTATTTGAAGGTCTGTTCTATTTACTTTTAAGGTGTTCTGGATTTGGCCATTCCTATATCTATATCTATATCTATATCTATATCTATATCTATATCTATATCTATATCTATATCTATATCCATCCATCCATCCATCCATCCATCCATCCATCCATCCATCTATCTATCTATCTATCTATCTATCTATCTATCTATCTATCTATC